CTCAGACTTTGAATATCTTTGCAGAAACGAAACAATATTTCTTTCTGAGAAATAGCTTCTTGTTTGATACAGATGAACTAAAAATGGAAAAGTTTCCGGGGCTTTCGAGCCGGTATAGAGCTTGCAGTTCGTGAGCTCTCATGACTTTGGTTGTCAAAATCTCACACGGTCCAATACTTACCACAGACATTCAACAGAAGAACTCGGATTGGCTAATTGCAATGATTGACTCCTTCCGTTGTCATAGTCGTTTCATACATTAAAGAAAGCGTGCTTATTGAAAATCACAAAATGAGAATGGAAATTTTTTGCAAGTCACCGAGCCAGCCCCCAGGGGACACGTTGTTGACTTTTGACTTTGCTGCGTTTTCATGCATCTTCTCATTACAAGCACCCTTCTCTTTCGAATTCCCTGGCTGTACCTGGTACCAATGATGACATAATTCGTAAATCAGGCCTGAAGTGTCAACCTGAGCTATCATCATTGTCATTATTGCTATTATTCACCATCCAGTTGTATCACTAACTGTTTTGCCGCCGCCTGTTCCTTCGTCGCTTTGTCTGATCTCTATAAGATAGGTGAGTTTTCATTGCACGATTCTATTAGTTAGCTACAATGTGCAGTTGATTTAGTTAACATTTGTGTGTTCGATTGCTGGGGACTTGTATGCAGCCCGTCAGTTTCGAAACAACGTTTATACTGTATGATTGTTCTTTTCGATTCGTCGCAACTGTTATTACGTATTAGCCATTTATTCACTGAAGCAACTTGCAAATTCAACTCGAATTCGCTCCATTGGAACATGTTGCAAATTTCCGCTTGAGTTTTGAAAAGCTATGGTGACTATTTTTTTTTTACGTATAAACTGCCGAAATAATACCACTAGATTTGATAACTGCTTCATGTTCATCGTATCAACGGCCGGAGCGACAGTTGAATGCACAAGACGCGGTTCATTATTCAATAGCACCCGCTCCAAAGATCATCTTNGTTTCGAAACAACGTTTATACTGTATGATTGTTCTTTTCGATTCGTCGCAACTGTTATTACGTATTAGCCG